CAATAAAAAAATTTTATAGATATAATACAAAATACAACTATTTCCACAATTTTACTTATCAGTTTCGCTCGGAACTATCACATCTATAAGACGTTTTATAAGTGAAGTTTTAAAGACAATCAATCTTACATGTAGGTTCAATTATTTCGTAGTAAATAACAGTTTTGTTCACATAGTTAAAAACAACTAACAATTTAACAGTCAACATTATGAATTAAACGTGGAAGTACAAACACCCAACCTTAATAAGAAATGCACTCATTTTAATGATCTGACAACAGTAGAACGTTGTCTTCATTGATACCTTCATTGCTTATTGCTGGGGCGTTATAATAATGTGTTTGTTACCTTGTGAAACTCTTTGCTCAGAATTCTTTATTCAAAGTAGGCTTGAAGGTAACAATGCATGTGTACTAATCAGGACGAGGTGAAACATTAAAGTGGTTTTGGTGGAACTTTTTTATAAGCATTTAAAATAATCATTTTAATAGGCAAAGATCGATAAGGAAATAGTGTTTGGATTTCTTCTGAAACATTCCCTTTTAATTACGTTAAGTAATAATTGCTATGGTTTAATTTCTGTCAATGACAAACAGACACGTAAAGAAGTTTCATAAAAAAGTTTAAGATGTCACAGCATTTCATCGTAAATATTCAGTAGGTTTTTTCAGTGGGAGTATACTTATTATACACACAATCACTTAAAATAACTTTCTATTCAACATAGTAAATAAGGATTGTCCTTTCTACATAAGCAAGCTTTGTTAAAAAAGTTATTCACATAAAAACCAAATGTATAATCAACAATAGCATTGTACTATTGTCCGATTATAGTAATAATTTTCTAAATGGGTACTTATAACTTTATAACATTAAAAGTATGCCTACATATCTCATGCCTTGCCAAAACGTAGTATATTGTGTTCTGGTTTAATTTGCGAATGCGGAAGATTAAATTATGCAACATTTGCGTATGATTTATCCGCTGTCGAGTGTATCGTCCCGACTTCAATAATGTTATCGCTCGTCGTATGTCACTGTCACATTTGCCTTCTCGACGTGTCTTCGCATGCTATTTATTACGTTAGGAGGAGAAAATATTGACAATATGGCGAATAGAAATTCCAATGGAGGATAAAACATGGTTCAACTTTAATTTCTTTCAATTCCCCGAAGGAAAGTGTGCACTTTCCGATATTGGTGTATATGTGAAGCCTTTATTGTCATGTTTGTTCCAGTCATTGGGTAGGGATTACCAAAAGGTATTAAGAACTTTTTTTCAATTGAAATGATATACTACTTCTTTCACATATCATGAATTAACATATACATCAGACAATTTTCCCAGATTTTGAATATTTGATTATATTTGATTTGAATAATAATTATCAAAAGACTTACTAGTGTTTGATTGGTACGTGATGTATTTTTTTACTCAAAAACTCTATGACGCTGAACTCGATCGAGGTAACGACAAAAATAACAAGCAAAAATTACAAACAAATAATTTTGACAGCAGATACTGTTACTTCATCTAAAAGGGAGATCATATATAATTTAAATTTATTTGAATGAAAGTAGGAATTACCTTTTATAAAGTTTGTAATTTAACATTACAATGACATTCTTTAATCTCATCTTAATGTAATCCATACCGAATATCGATATTGTTATTGAACTATAACCCATACAGCGAATGGAGATAGTATATTTAAAGAAATAAATTTCGAATTATGTACTATCAAATAAACGTATTTCCAAATAGTTATGCGTTGAATTGAATTTAAAAAAAAAAAAAAAAACTTATTCCGCCCATTAAAATTCATACGTAATCTAATCATCAGCTCCAAAACTGTTTGTTCAAAAGTAGAGAACATATAATACTGATTGGATCAGAGAAAATTCATTAGCCTAAATTTTATATCGTAAATATATTTTAAAACTTCTATGCTATTAATCTGTTACACAGTTTTGTAGCGTCAAAGCAACCTACGGTTAACAATACCTAATGGCACGAAATCGCAAAATGAAGGAAACATACTGAATGTAGAGGTAAAACTCACGAATATTTTTACAAATCCTACTAGAGTATTTTCAATATTTAAAACTTTGATTTACGCCTTTGTAGACATATAATTTAACAAGAAATCTGCTCAATTTGGTCGGTTGAATTAATAAATCACCGAGTTTCAAGTCTTACGCTGCAGAGTAGAGAAAATTATAGATATCAGCGGGAAATTTAGTGTTATTTATTATTGAAAGCATTGATTATAGTTCAAATGTATACGATAACTATAAACATTTCACAACAGCTATTCAAATAGACCGGTTACAAAAATAATTGCCTAGCCTCAACTCGTGTGTAGATTTCAACAATAAAAGTTAGACCTTTTTTTATTTAAGTGTTGTTAAATATTTCAAATTTAGTTGATTTCCACAATTATTATTTTGTAAAATTTTTCAAGTACTTTTGTTACATTATTTTATTATTTAAATTTTAGTTTAATCACATTTTCCTACGCTAAATGTGTTGACTACACTACGATTTGGCAGATTAGGGAATTTCCGCACGATTTTAAGCGATCCTAAACATAATCTATATTTACCTAATCACTTTATCCAACCTAACCCATCCAAGTTATTTTATTTTATTTTTTTAACTCATACATAACTTAATAATATATCATAAAATTAATCATTATGTACTTATAAATGATTGTACTACTTATCATAAAACACGATATTATTGTTTACCACCAGTTCTTAACTTGCGCTGAAGTGGTGGGAAACTATATATTTCAACGACTTAAACATTATTACAATTAGTTTCTTAATAGTTCAATTAATTCTACCTACACGCTATTCAACCACACCGGTTACATTATCTCTTAAGCCCCGTGTACACGTAGCTAGTTTACTAGCAGCTAGTATTCGCTGCTAGCACTAGCTGGGCACACTAGCGCGAAAATTCCCATCTACAAGTGGCTAGTTATTAGCGCTTATTATTAGCGCTAGTCATGTAGAAGTGAAGTGTTCATTGGTCGCAATAGTCATTTCAGTTTAGCACAAAATGTCTTCTGTTCCCTTAAATCGAAATGTTTCGAGACAAATTTTAAGAATTGGTGTACAAGAGTTGTGTGAACATGAACTTAATAAAAAGAGACGATCTGTGTGGGTTCGAAAGTGGATTAGGAGGCGAGAACTTATTGGTGCGTCCAATACTCTTTTAAGAGAACTGGCACTGGAAGACCCTACAGAGTATTTTAAGTTTTTGAGAATGAATGCTTTAAAGTTTGAAGAACTGTTGGAACTAATCACTCCACTGATTAAGAAAAATGATAATGTTATGAGAGAGGCTATAACGCCAAAAACTAAACTTCAAATAACTCTGAGGTATTTGGCAACAGTAGATTCATTTCCTTCTTTACAATACTTATTTCGTGTGCCTATGACATTTTAGGTACCTATGACACTTGAAGAGTGGAAAGCTATTCAAACTGATTATTATTTACAATGGAACTTCCCAAACTGTTGTGGAGCGCTGGATGGCAAACATATTCGCATAAAAAGGCCTTTGAATTCTACGTCTACATTTTTCAACTACAAAGGTTTCTATAGCATAATACTATTTGCTATGGTTAATGCCGACTACACTTTCAGTTTCATTGATGTAGGCTGTGACGGAAGAGCCAATGACAGCACAATTTTCAAAAACTCTGACTTAAATATAGCTTTGGAGCAAAATCTTCTTCATTTATTTATTTATTAATTTTACATACCAACGGACAACTCAATTTTTACATTAATACAACACAACAAGATGGAAACAATATTCATAACAATAATATAGCATTCGCTCTGGCCTTATAAAAATACATGCATTTGATAATAAAGAATTCTGCCTAATGATTCAACAAGAATAAATAATATTTACAACAAAACTCTAATTTTATTTATATAGATAAATAACATTAACAATAAATAACACTTACAATAAATAACATTTACAATAAATACTTATACAAATAACATAGGTAATAAATATATACTGAAATAACAAGAATAACAATACAAATAGACTACTATTAACAGAACACAGCCTTGCCAAGAAAGACCCTGCAATTAGATATAAAAATTTACGATTCAAATATATAATATTGACAATGAATTTTCAAAACAAGGGACTACGTTGAAGCTTCCTCTTCATCGAAGATACACTGTCCAGGAAGAAGTCTACAGTCTCTGGCACGCTGTTGCCCGCCCTTTGCATGCGGCATTCATCCCGTAGTTTGTGCGGTGATGCTGTCTAACAAACAGGTCTCTCGAACGAGTGCGTTGAGGAGTCCGAAATTGAATCTGCTGGAGCATATCAGGGCAGTCAAATGAGCCATTAAGGAGCTTGTGCAAGACAACGAGATCAGCGATGTTCCTCCTGGTCTCCAGATGCTGAAGACCCATCTCACTATAGATTTCATCAATCGGGACTTGGCCAAAGAATGGCTTATGTGTGGCTGATGATGCTTTCCCGCTACGTCACAATCTGTTAACACCCTATAGTCACAGAAACTTAGAATTAAGCGAGAGAGTATTCAATTACCGACTCTCAAGAGCCAGAAGGGTATCCGAAAATGCATTCGGAAATTCTGGCCTCAAGATTTCGAGTCTTCACAACACCTATTGCAGTATCAGTCGAAACTGATCACCGGCGTGTGGCGAGTGGCGATTAGGACTAGCAGAAGTGCAAATGCCCCGCTAGTACCGCGCTAGTTCGCTAGCGCTAGTGGTCACGTGACCACCCCCTCCACTTATTAGCGCTAGTAATATCAAACATGTTCAAAACGACTAGCAGCGAGTAAAATGCTAGCGCGCTAGTATTTTTTAACGCTAGTAGACCGTTTACACGGAGCGAATTTACTAGCGCTAATCAACTAGCTGCTAGTACTAGCCTCGTGTACACGGGGCTTTACGGAAGGGGAGATCACAGATAGGGCGGGAAACAGGGTGGGAATCGAAGGGAAATTCAGCGCGGCGCCAGCATCGACCGTGCTGCATCACTGGCGCGCTGAGGCTGAGGCGGGACTACTGCAGCTCCTGGACTACTGAGATGAACTGGTGATGGTGCTAAACACCCTGTCGGTGGCCGTGGTGTCGCTGTTGACGTTGCTGTCCCCGGGGGAGACGAATCCTGACGCCAAGAGGTTGTACGATGACCTCCTCAGCAACTACAACCGCCTCATCCGACCCGTCAGCAACAACACGGACACGGTGCTGGTGAAGCTAGGACTCCGCCTTAGTCAGCTTATAGATCTGGTGAGTACATTGTATTCTAGGGTGTGGAGCGTGGAGGATGATGCAGGGTGTAGCTTCCTGGGGGTCGTGATTAGTGTATCGGGGATGGGCGGTTGAAGGCTCAACATGTTAAATAAGTTGAATGTACGAAATGCATGATAAGAGAGCGCTTTAGCTAGGTATAGGTAACGGCATAGGTGTTTAAAGGCTAAATGCTGTCTGTGTTCATAAAATTTTATTCAGTAGACGACGAGAGGGCATTATGATGTTGGTAATTAATATTACGCTTAGGCAATGGGCAGCGTAAACAGACTTAAAAGTTAGCGGCGATTTGTATAAAACACACTTAATGGGCAAGCGAGCCATATAATTTCTAGGTTATATATCAAGGTGGATGATAATAGTCTACAATTTGGATAAGGGTACATAGTATGGTGATTTAACGTTACGCTTAGGCCAAGATCTAAGGACAGCTTTACAAGTTAAAATGTAATCCCTACTAAATTTGTAATTAATAATGTTTAATAACTAAACCATATACCTTCTAGGCAGTATTAAAGTTAAAGATTATCTGAGCTAAAGCGTAATATATTCGATCTTTCAGAATATATATGATGCTAATTTTAAGGTTACCTTTTAGGGAGGTTCCAGAAATGGGAGTAATATTAAATACGCATTAGTTAAATCATATAACTCTTTATTTCTTTGTATCCTTTGGAAATTTAGGATTTGAAGGATGATGATTTTAGGAAACAAATAAAAACATTGACACGGGAATAGCTTTAAATTCTTAAATGGTATGTGAGATCATAAGTTAAACTTATTTAATGTTATAAGGCCTTATAGGTTGTTAATTAGAAAATGTTTTAGCTAGATCAGGGGAAGAGTTGAAATTATTCAATAAACGGTTAAGGAATTAGTTTAAGGATTCAGGGGTTAGAAAATAACCTTTAGCTGTGTCCTGGAGATTACGGCTTATAACATTGTTTCAATGTAGTATGATGCCGGTTATGTTTGTTTATATGTTAAATATAACATACCTAACGTGTTTTGCAAATGTGGTTGTGTAAGATAATAAGTTTAATTATGAATCTTCTATTGAATACCTTCAGTAACCTGTTCCTTAATATATCGTTGGTATTATATAATAATACATACTAGTAATAACACTACCATTAATAATAATAATAATAACAATAAACACAACAACAACAACAATAATAATAATAATAGTAATAATGCTACTTGTATGTTACAGGTGTACAGTTATAACGGAACTATTATTACAAACTAGGCGTGTTGCATTTTAAGTGTCGTCAAGTAGGTTCTTTTCATGATATTGTAGGAATACGTCAAATTAAAAAGTAACTGTATATCATAAGCAATATAAAGATTTAGGAGGGTTTAAAATCAAAAGATAACCTGCAGGGTTTTTGTTATCAGGGTTTAAAAATATTCATGGTCTACTAGGGTACGTAGAGTTCTTAAAACCAGACAGCTTCAACCATTGAGTTAAAAAGTCCAAATTTTAGCAACAATTATTATTTCGAACAAAACTATTTTCAAGGTTTTCCGTCTCGTTTTGCTACTGAATAGGCAGGATAAATTGTCATGTCAAATTTCCTCATCGATCATAATTGTCTAGCAATTTTGCAGACGAGAAAATAGAATGAGTCTTTACATGTTATTGTAAATAGTAAATCCTTTTAATAATAATTGGGTATTTAGTTATACTGTACTTACGTTGGAAATGGCAAAGACTTAAAATATATATAACAAGGTCTATGATTATTTATATTTTATTAATGATTAGTTAACGGTATTTAATTTAATATATATGATTCGTTTATTATTCACACTGGTTAAAACTTTTACTTGCTAAGACCTATTTATTTTGGAGGAAGAGCAATAATAAATGTATTTATTACATGGGAATTTGAGTTGTTTTTTTTTAGTTTGGTGTAAGAGGTTAGTTAGAATATGAGAAAGAATATTAATACTCTAAGTGAGAGTGAATTATCTCCAAAATCCATAGAGAGATCAGAGCAACGGTTGTTTGCTAAATATTTAGTAGGGAAAACCGATTAGAATCACATCGTTTAAAGGCAAAAGAGAATACCCCGGCCACAGCAAACCTGTAGCCTAGGCAAACGTTCATTTGCCCGATTAAGTTTTCACTAAAATATATCTTTAAAACTGCCACATTTATTCCCTATTTAAATAACAGTAGTATCGGGGGACCTCGGGATGGTTGTTTTTCGATTGTAAAAGCAATATATAGGAAACCTAACGTTTTATATAAAACTAGTTTTAGCTTTTATTATTAAAGTTTCAGTGGAACTTAAATTTATAAAGTATTATGATGGAAATCTTAACCTGACAATTCATGACACATTAATTTATTTTACAGTCGATGGTAAAAATCACTCGTTTATAATATCCTGTAAAAAGCTGGGTTTTCCTAGCCGCGGAGTCGGCGAGCGGAGAGAGGAACGCGGAGAGCGGACTCCACTTGTCTTAGGCAATTTAATGTTACTGTTTTCCTAGAAGCGGAGCGGAATGCCATGTCAATTTCAATTCCGCTCTACGCGTTCCTCTCTCCGCTCTCCGCTTCCGCGCCTAGGAAAACCCAGCTTTAAGCCCACTTGCATAAACACTGTTTTGACAGTTTGTTTAAATTAACCCAGATGATTAAACATTGTTTTAAAATTCTAATTTAGGCCTACATCAAATACACATAATCCATATATAAATCCCATAGTACCCATGAACTTTTGAGAAAACTACAATTCACACCCCTATAAGCTATATACTTAAAATGTTCGTCATGACGAGAAACCTTGCATAAAACTATCCATTTTTTCATAAATTGTCCTTTAAGGTCGTAATTCTTTATAAAGGGAACTTTCCATATACTGAATGTTAAAAATACCTTAGCTGAACTTATTTGTATGTTATTCTTTCAATTTATTACCTTATTAAAATCAGGTGTGAATATTTGTTTGTATTACTGTATTCTGTTTAGTTTATTTCAGCTTAACATAACCAATCAATAGTTTTATTAATACTTATGAAGTCAAACGGGGTGAAGTCCGTTGGTAACAGCTAGAATTATTTTTTTTTTTTTCACTGTTAAACCAAAGTTTGATAATTATTCCCTTAGTACTTCGGAGATTAAGTTTTAGTAGGAGAGAGTCAAATAAAATAATCAGTATTTGATCGGAACTATTTTCCACTATATCGAGTAATCTTCAGTGTAATCCTTGCCCAATAGTAACGACTGGTGTTTTCCCACTGTACTGTATTTTTATTTAGTAATTTGCATGTATACTGCGTTTGGCTTGTTACAAGGGTATTTTATCTCCTTGTTATTTTGTTCAACCAACATACTAACAAATTGGCATCCCATAAAGCCAATGTTAAGTTTTTAAATTTTCAAATGAGTTATGTAGCGGAAAACGTACTTACCTGAGATAGTGGATGTCACCAATCACTTTTTTACCAGAAATAAATGATTTTACAACGTTTGAAGGAAATCGTCAAAGCCGTTTTTGAAATCTTTGTGCAAGCATACATACAAGCGAATATTGATCACAGAGTATAGGACTAGCTTAACGAGTAGATAGGTTTTCTGCTACAGGGAAGGCAATGGGCTTTTTAGATAAATTTTTTAGTAAAATGTATATAGTTTAGTATGAAATAAATATATTTCCCAAAATTTAATCAAAATATGTACATAAACTAAAACAGTTTTCATATTTTCCTTAAGAATAGCATGGGAATTTGAAAATTACAGGTTTTTGGAATTTTCTTTTTAACCATTGTGTGTATACCATCTCTCCAGTATACTAAATAATTTGTATTTTTTATTCTACACAATTTTAAAAAGGTTTAAAAAGAAAGTGCGGAATTTCATGTGTATATTTCAAAAATGAGGAAAGCCAATTTTTACCCGAATAAGACTCCGCTCCCATAGTTCGATCATGCTGACTCGCGAACTCTTTCAATTAAACCATGGTGTACATGTTTGTATCAAATGTCATAAAAATCTAGCATCTTGGGACTGAAAAACGTAAAAGTTTGTAGCGCTTCTCACTAAAAGCATGTTTGATACATTTTTTACAAGACCTATTTTTACACACACAAAATTAGCTGTTTGAAATTATTAGATTGTTTTTTAAAAATAGTCGTATTGCGTTTGTATATGTAAAAAAACTATAGTAATGCTTAAAACTACTGTAATGTTTAAAAACTATAGTAACTATAGTAATGTTTTTTACCATGCAAATTATATAAACACGCACACGAATATTACATTAATTGAATATGAATGTGGGATTGTAAACAAAACTATCTAGGCTCGTACCTTAAATTTTCCACTTTGTCGTTAACACTTTTTTTATGCAATAGTTGCGTAAACTACTATAAGTTTACGAGAGTTTAAATAGGAAAGTGATGATAGGGTTTTTAAATAGTTTGATAAACATAGCGCGAGCATATGTATATTTTTTAAACATAGCGTTTACATATTATAATATGCTTATGCTGTATTTATTTATACCAACATTTAACATTTATTAACATGTTTTATTATGTATTTGTAGTAAAAGTTCGCTCCCTTCCCATTTCAAATTGAATTATCTTTTCCAACCACATATTAAATCACTTTCAAAACTTGTAATTCAGTTTAAAAAGTTCATAAGCGTGTAATCTATTTGGAGATTCTAAATATATATAAGATGATTAAAGAACAAAAATCCACTATGTTTACTTTAAAGTGTTTACGAGTTATTTGAGAATGATATTCGCCAAATAATCATTATGTCTCCATTTCTTTAATAGTATATTTCATAACAAGAGTAGAAAGTGAGTCATTATGTATATTTGAGACCACGTAAAAGGTCGAGAATATGTATACATTTAAACACGTGTTTTGAACGTTACTTTTCCCTACACTACAAAGACAAATTAAAACAGACATTGGACTTATTACAGTTAGGAACATTACAAAACTCATAGTA